TGTTTAAGAACCAGTTGCATTTCCTTTTCTATAAACTATTTTATTCTATTGTTAGCATTTTTTTTCTTTCAACACTTTAAATATTTGATATCACTGTTTTTTGCTTGCATGGTTTTCTGAAAAGAATTCTGATGTAATTCTAACCTTCTTCCCTCTAAAAGTAAGTTTTATTTTTTCTTCCTCTCTGACCTTTTCCAAGATTTTATCTTTGTTTTTGATTATGTACACTGTATATATGGAATATACGTTGAATATGATATACAGTGTAGATTTTTTGGTATGTATCCTACTTAGTTTTTCTGGGCTTCCTAGATCTGTGACTTAGAACCTGTTACCGATTTTGGAAAATTCTGAACCATTATCACTTCAAATATATCTTCTGATTTGTTTTTTTCTTCTCATTCCTTTTCTTCTGATAGTCCCATTCTGTGTCTGTTTTAACGTTTATTACTATTCCACAATTCTTGGATATGCTGTTCCATTTCTTTCTTTAAAAAAATCTTTGCATTTCAGTTTGAGAAGTTTCTATTGACATCTGATCAGGCTTATTGATTCTTTCCTTGGCTGTGTCCAGTCCACTGATGTACTGATCAAAGTCATTCTTCATTGCTGTAATAGTATTTTTTATTTCTAGCTTTTCCTTTAGAATCTTTCCTTTAGTCTTAATATTTCTGCTTAAGTTAGCCATCTGTTTTTGAATGTTGTTCACTTTTTCCATTAGAGCCCTTTGCATACCAATTATGGTTATTTCAAATATCTTGTGTGATAATACCAAAATTTTGACCATATCTGAGACTGGTTCTGATGCTTGCTTTATCTCTTTACACTATGTGCGTGTGTGTGCGCGTGCATGCGTGTGAGTGTGTGTGTGTGTGTGTGTGTGTGTGTGAGAGAGAGAGAGAGAGAGATTATGTTTAGCATGCTTTTTTTTTTTTTTAATTGAAAGCTGGATATGATGTATTGGATAAAAATTACTGAGATAAATAGGCCTTTATCTGGCTAGAAGTAAGGTTGTTTTTACTGTTTGCAGTAGCTGTGGAGTTAGCAGCTGAGATTTCTTCCTGTATCCTTGTATCTCCACTATTGTTTTTGAGTTTCCCTTGAGACTCCTTAAATGGGGTCTATTTAGAGTCTTTTAATTCTAATTCTTGTTGTTATACAGGAGCCCTATGGAGGTGTTGGTAAGGTGTGGGAGTAGGGGAAGTGTTCTATAGTCCTATGATGACACATCAATCTTTTAGTAAGTCTGCCTCAGCTGGGTGTTTCCCTTCATCCACATTGAAGGCCTAAGGGGGCTAGAGTTAGATTTTTCCCTTCTTGCACGTTGGTTACGTGCTGGTGAAATAGTTTCCCCTGAGAGATGACTTTGTTAAGGAGAACAAGCACAATGGACATATTTAAAAAAATAGTTATGTTTCCCTACCCTTGAAGGAAACAGGAGGAGATTTTGCTCAGATTTAGTTTAAATTTTTTTTTCAATTACTCTTTACATTCAATATTAATTTAGTCAGTTGTTTCAAAACCATTTACTTGTTCATTTTCCCTCCTATTGATTGACTGTCATTATTGAATTCCAATATGTATTGGGGTTTATTTCTGTAATTCCATTTTTGATTTATCTTTTTAATATGCTAATATGAACAATTCATATAGTAATACCATTCTATTTTAATTAGGATAGCTTAACAATGTTTAAAAATAAGCTATGGCTAATTATTCCTTTATTTTTCTTGTCAATTTCAAACATTTTTTTGGTCAATTTAATTATCTATATAAAATTTAGTGTTAGTATTTCTAATTTAAAAACTTGTTGGTACTTTTATTTTAATCATGTTAAGCTTTTATGTTAATTTAAAAATGGATGCATAGTTATGAAATTTAATTCTTTAAAAATCTAAAAACATAATATGCCCTTTTGTTTGTTCCAAGTTTTCCTTTGTGAGAGCTTAAAATATATTTCTTCATATATATCTTGCATATTTTTGTTCCTAGGAATCTTTTCTTCTTTCTTCTGTTGTAACTGGTGTCCTTATTTCTTTATTATGTTTCTTAACTGGTTGTTTATATATGCATTTAAGTTATATATTGATTTCTTGGAAACATGCTATTTATAAAAATTTAAAAGTATATGCCTATTATAATATAGGGTAGTGTTGCACAGTGGGGAGTCTGAGGTCTATGAACGTGGCTGCACCATTGATTAGCCCTATGGCAGTAGACAAGGTACTTAATCTTTATAAGCCAGTTTCCTCATGTATCAAATGGGATAATAATAGTACCTACCTCATAAGGAACTTTTGAAGATTGAAAAGATAAAGCACAAAGACACTTAAAGGGTTTCTGGAATGTAGTGAGCAGTTTTGTGCTCGTACATTGAAGCTTAAATCTAGTGCATGGGAGTCAGATGGAGAACAGATATCAACCTTCCCAACCACTCCCCTCCAGTCACACTCCTCACTTCCTAAACCACAATGGTGGGCTGAACTGAGGGCTGCAGAGTGGGTGGAGGAATTAGGGGAATGGAGACATAAGGCTAGAGGCCCAATTACACCTTTTTGTTGTAGGAAAGGAATAAAATGATTTAGTGATTTGCATTTGGGGTGTCCAAGGAGACTGGAGGAGGAGAAACAGTGGAAGTGAACAGAGCACTTTTTCAAATTGCCACCTTAAATTGAAAGGATCTTGATAGTTTATAGGCCATTTATACATATTTGTATCATCTTGGCAGCAGCTCACTCCATCTATGAGAGAAACTTGAAATCACATGGAGTAAATGGGTATTGGGGAAGCCAGGTTCAGATCTGCTGACCTGTGTTGATGCTCATTCCTCTTCATTTCTCTTTCCTTATTATTTATTCCCATCTCAGCCTAAGTACTAAATTGTCAGCAGAAAATACAGAGGACAAACTGGAAGAAGGGGTAACTAGAAGAATTAAAATATTTTGAGAAGAGGAGAGCTTAAGAGAGCTTGGGAGCTGCAATAAAGAATACTATTTGATGAATATACCATGTGCAGAAATTCCTGGGAACTATGTTAGGAATAATATAACATCAGCCATGTCTTAAATGTCTATTGTGTGCTGCCTGTTTTATGTGCATTTTTTCTTTTAATCTTAACTATCTTCCAAGGCAGATGTTACTATGCCAATCACACAGTGTGTCTCTAGAAAGCTAGGCCTCAGTCTTCTTGGAGCTTAATATCAATATACTAATTAAAGAATACTTTTAAAACACACCACAGCCATGGACATAGGAGCTTCTGATCATGGCAGAACTGGGAAGGAATTGTGAAGAAGTCAGCCATAGCCAATGAGGTGAGCTTCCTGTAATGTGATGTGAGCAATAAAAGGAGGGAAAGAAACAGGATGGGTAAGTTAATGGGCAAGGAAGTCTTCCTGCAGCTGGAGTTAGGAATGCGGATGGAGTGCGGACTAAGCCAACTGCAGTGGAAAGGGAGCCCAGAGAAGGCTGCCGCTAAGTAGTAGAAAAATGCTCCATCAGCTACTTAGCCTTTTTTCCCGTTGCTCCATTGCTTTTTAAAGTGACAGTCACGAGGCTTCAGGATTCTTAAGTGGAAATGGTCTTGGCTCATTGGCCGACAGTCTAACATCAGTTCTAAAAAATTTGGTGGGATACAGCTGGTGGAAATTGCCCCAGTCCTTACTTCAGTAGGAATGTCCACGTGCTGCTTGGTTGTCTCCTGATCAAGCATCTCCCCCTCTCCATCTTCACCTGCATATGTCTCTTCCTTTATCAGGTTTCATAAAAAAAAAAAAAAAAAAAAAAAAAAAAAAAAGTAATCACCCGGCTCATTGTACCCAAGTGGTCCAGGCATACCCCTGCTTAACCCAGCGCGGCTGGCTGCCCGAGATGAATGCAGGCTACTCAGATGGTTTATGAGAAGTGACACTTGCTTCCTAGCTTCTTGTATCTGCCACCGAGCAGTTAATGTGAAAGCCCACAGTGAACGTGACTGCTGGAAATACTGCTGGGCAGGGCAGGGCAGGGCGCTGGTGCTTCATGAGCACGTGAGCAAGATGCTCAGAGGCAGCCCCAGACACCCCATGATCCGGGACTGCGGCAAATGGGTGTGGGAATGGAAAGAAGGGAGGGCCACTTCATGCCTGTCCTTGCTTCTCATCCGCCCCAGCATGTCATCCACGCGGGGGCCGGGTGAGGTCGCCCCAGGTCGCCCAAGAACCTGCAAATTCATCGCTGCCTTTCATCTCCATAACCTTCCGTCCAGAGGAGGACAGACTGGCCCTTCCCCTGCTGCTCAAAGCTGCTGCTAAGGCGGGTCTGACTTCTCTCCTAGAAAGGCTCCGATTCCCCTTCCCGCCGCAGGGGTCCAGTCTTGGCTCACACTTCGCTTCTCACTGCTCGCTCAGCAGTCTGGGGCTGCGCGCAAGTCTCGCCAAGTTTCCCTATCCAGACCCGAGAGTCTGCTCCTTTCTAGGACAATGTGAACAAAGAGGATCAGGGAGAGGGGCTTGAGGGCGGTTGCAGGGCGAATGTGAATGTGAGTGTGAGTGTGTGATGGGGAACCTCCTCGGGGACCCGCGCAGAGCGCACCTAGCCCAGCACCGCAGTGCCCCTTGCGGCTCCGTGAGGCGGGTTGCTTTGTCCCAGCCCGGCAGAGCGCGGAGGTCGTGGGTCGCAAGCAGAAACCCGAGGCCGGCTCTGGAGCCCAGGCTTCCACGTTGTCTTGCTGCCGTAGTGGGGACACTGGACTTGCTTCTTCTTATCCGAGCTCGCCCTGATTAGCTTGGTCTGGGGACAGCGGGACCCACTGGAGCGCTCCCTTCCCTGGCTCTCCGCGGACGCGCGCAGGTCCAATTCCGGGACGGAGGCGCGTCTTGGGCGTCCCCCACCCCGCGGCCGCCTGCGTCGCAGCCCCCGGGACCGCGCTGGTGGGACCTGAACTGCGCCCACGAGAGATGTCCGCCGGGAAGGCTGTCCAAACAGATCCGGAGGTCCCACAGGCGTGCGTGAGCATAACAGAGGTTGGGGTCTCGTCCGCTCGCTCGTCTCACCTGCATTAGTTTGCCTGGCAGAAGAATGAAGGAGAAACTGTTATGTCCATTCAATATCATTAAATCAGCACCCTTCCCTCTAACTCTAGCAACTAAGTTGTATTTTTCATGTAACATTAGAGTCCAAGCGAAATTACTTTCCCACTCCTGCCTGAACCTTCATCACTGCGCCGAGCCAGGTTTCGGGGTCCGGGCTCCAGTTCCGCAGGAGAACTTGGGAGTCTCAGGATTTGCATCCCCTGCCTCTCTCTGGGCGTCTTTGTAACGCGGGGTGGTCCCGGGTGGTCGCGCCCGGCTGGCCGCGCCGGGCCTGCCGCTGCGCCAGCCGCTGTGCGTTGGAAAGGGCAGGCGCTAGGACCACGGGACGCGCGGGCAGCACGGCGCTACCTTAAACCCGGCCCAATGCCGCCCTGCGCCACTCTGCGCGCCGGCCGGGCTGCGCAGGAGGAGCGCTCCGCCCGTCACCAGGCTGGAGCCCGCGCGGCAACACCTGTTCGCGGCCGCAGGGCGCACGCGATCTGCGGACACCGCTCTCTCGCTCGCCTCTGGCCGACTGCGCTGAACCAATGGACCTCCGCCGAGCCGCCGCAAGATTCCGGATTCCAGCTTTGGACGCCTAAAGTTTTTGTTTTTTGTTTTATTATATTATTATTATTGCCTTTTTTTTGGAGGGGGGATCGGGAAGGGAGAGTCTTCAGCGCCACCAACGTGAGATTCCACCCCCCACCCCACCCCCGCCCTGGAAGGATTCCTGCTGATGTCTGCATAGTCGGTTAGAGTAAAAACGGCGCATGCCTTTCCCGGAGTCAGGACCCGTGGATTCTGACGTAGCCAGTGCATCTTAAAATCCTATAATAACGCCTAGGCATTGAAGTTGCCATGGCCATTCCGATCTGGAACCAAATGGAGAAACTACGAAATTCCCCCCGTACGACCGCCGGCTGAGATGCAGACCTTCCTGCCTTCTAGGAGCCGGGGCTCTGCCCATAGAGATGCATAGATGTGTTTATCAGTGTGTCGGCGTGTGAGTATACAACGCTGGTTTCTTTAGGCTATTAGTGGTTTGACCTTGAACCTGTACCAGTGAAACGGCAGATTACTTTTATTTATGCATTTCATGGATTGAAGAAAATAACGTATTTTTTTTCCCCTCTCTGCAACCGCAGTAAGGGAGGGGAGTTGAATATACCTCGCCTAAGATTTCCCGGGTTGGCACCATCATTATTGTTTATCCCTGTGCTCCAACAGCCCAGCCTTCTGATGGCTCCCTTAGGTGAAGTTGGGAACTATTTCGGTGTGCAGGATGCAGTACCGTTTGGAAATGTGCCGGTGTTGCCGGTGGACAGCCCGGTTTTGCTAAGTGACCACCTGGGTCAGTCCGAAGCAGGGGGGCTTCCCCGGGGACCGGCAGTCACGGATTTGGATCACTTAAAGGGGATTCTCAGGCGAAGGCAGCTCTACTGCAGGACTGGATTTCACTTGGAAATCTTCCCCAATGGTACTATCCAGGGAACCAGGAAAGACCACAGCCGATTCGGTAGGTATACCATTAACATTCTTGTGTCCGCGCTGTGATACGTTGGGATTATAACTACCAAGAAGGGGTGGTCGGGGGCGGGGGGGGGGGCGGTTGCAGGAAGGGTCTTTCCCTCTTTCTGCTTCATCTTGCCAGCTTAAAAAAATAAATAAAATAAAAAGCCCCCGGAATTGCAGGTCTGCCACTGGCACCTATGCAAGTCTACATTGAAATGCTTTAAATTAAAAAAAAAAAATTTTTTTTTTAAAGAAAGCCATCTTTTATAAATATCACATAAGCTCCTCATTCCTTTGAATCAGATACTCAGGAAAATCAGGTTTAGGAATTTGTTTTTGTTTTGGATGGACCAATCCCAGGAGTTTAAAGCTTTAATCATTAACTACTGAGAACTTAAAAATGCATTTCCTGAAGGTATGGTTTATTGTAATCTAGTGCCCCAATGAAGTTTTTGCTCCTTCCTCCTTCTAACAAGTATCCTACTTGAATTGTAAAGGAAAGGTATTGATTCCCACCTTGAAGGTCTGAAACCCTTCTGCTAGGCTTACTAGCTGAATGTTCTTTTGAAGTCACATTAGATTTGGAAAGTGGCTGGACGCTCACTGGGGTTGCTTGTCCTTCCAGCCATCAAATCACCCCAGGGCTTTAGTGTGCAGCTGAGGTGGGGTTCCTGGTGGCTCTCTGGTGAATTTGTGTGTCCCATGCAAAAGCTGAGCGCTAATTATAAAGAGCATTCAGTTCTGAGGACTTCACTTCCCCAGGAGGGTACTTGTGACTCAGCATGGAGGCTACAAACCGAGGGCTGGTGACCATGCACCCCTTTTATTTCTGCGCACACGTGCTGGCTGGGTTACCCTGAGCCCAACAGACAGCCAGTCCAGGTGGGGGACTCTGCTCCCCCTCGTCCCCTGTACTTATAAAAAAAAAATTAAAAAATAAAGAAATAAAAAGCGCCAGTTTGGGCAACCAGGCTGTTGAAAGTTGATTTTTTTTTTTAGTGGACCCACCTGACAACACTTAAAATGGGTCGTAAAAAACAAAGTCCCGCGGTGATTTTTCTCCCTCAAGCTTTCATGCCAGATGTAGACCACAATCTAAACTATCTGATTTAGGTTCAGGGGCTGTTGATGAGGCCAGAAGGCGAGCTGGAGTCAGGCCTGGGATGGGATGGCCTACCATTTTGCCCCTTTACTCCCGGAGCCTCAGCCCCAAGCTGAACCTGCTAGTGCAAAAATTACTGGCTGTACAAAAAAAAAAAAAAAAAAAAAAGTGGTAACTCCTGGCCTTGCAATTATTCGGTTGAAAAATACTTCTCAGCCCCCCACACCGCCCCCATGGATGCAAGCTCTGGTGGTTGCACAGCAGACTAAACTTTGCAAGTGCTGCTCTGGGCTGCTGTGGGGGCTGCCGCCGTTCCTAGCGTTCTCACCAAGACACTGGCGATGGGCGCTGAGGTTGGGACTGCTGGAGTGTCCGGGTCGCAGCTGCCGTCTGGGGTCCGGGCCGCGCCTCGGGGCGAGCAGCTAGGGCCGGTGCCTTAGTGCGCCCCGCGGCGGAACGCGGTCCTCGCGCCCGGGGCCGGCAGGTGCCGGCTCTGCAGCCCCAGCCCCAGGCGCTTTCTGCGGTGGCCCGGCCGGCTCCGCGCGGTCCTAACGCGCTCCACGTCCGGCACCCTCTGCCCGGCTGGTGCGCCCTGCGTTGCGGTGGGGACTCCGGACTCATTTCTGGGGGCCACGGGCGATGGCTTGCACACTTATGGCGGCATTTGGGTAACCAGGTTTTTGGCCCAAGTTGAGCCCCTTCGTTTCTTTGTGTGTATGGTCTGCGGGACTGACAGCCGCCGCCCCAGAACCGCTGGAGGCGCGCGCCGCGGCGGGAGACTTGGTGCGGGGACTGAGGACCAGCTGGATATCGGAACCTGACACCTTGTTCCGTCGGGGATTTTTCTTCCTCTGTAGGAAGCGCACAGGCGGGGCTCCTAGGCGTCTGGGAGGTGGGTCGGGGCTCGGGCCCTGCGAGACCAGAGCGCCGGGGAAAGGTTGGGGGTGGGGGTGGGGGTTAGGCCAAAGGCCGGGCGGAACAATGGCAAGCTTAAGTGAACCGCTTCCCGGAGCCCAGCTTCTGGCCTGCGGTCCGCGGCCGGCTTACCAGCGCCCGGGTGGGCCCGCTTCTCAGCGCGGAGAGCCCGGGCCGCGGGCAGGGCCGGCCCGGTGGCATTGTGTGAGCTGGCCGAGTCTGGCCTTGGAGGTACCCTCGGAACACCCCCTCCCCCCCTCGTGCAGCACTGGTGGACCCGGCACAGAGAGATTTTGGGACGTGCTAGTGGGGCTCTCACATACCCCGAGCTTATGATTCTTCTTCTTATTATTTTAGTGCAGTCACTTTTAGGGTAGGACGTTTGGTACATGCAGTCGAGCCATTTGAAATTCAGTCATTGCCACTGGGAGAGTAGGATGCAAGGGAGGTAAGGTGGGGACTACGAGGGTGGAAAGGACCCCAAGGGCGAGTTAGCGGACAAGGGCTGCTGGTATAGCTGCTGAATAAAGACCATAAAATAACAAAGTAGTCCTCGGCACTCCCCCTGCTTCCCCCATCCTGCAGGTGACATCTCTACTGTTTAGACTCGCTGGGCCGCGGTTGGCCGGGTTCGCAGGGATATTGTATGTGGGAGGGCGGGGTGTGGGGGGCAAGGGGCCGGGAGGTATACGATCAGCGGGAGCCAGAGGAGGGGGAAGGGTGTGCCTGGCACTCTGTGGTATCGCTCTCTGGGGCTTGGATGAAGTTGAGTGGGTGGCTGTGCGCAGCGGGGGTGGGGAACAAGGGCTATTTAAGTATTTCATCCGGTTGCAGTGAGAAAGGCCGCCGAGTTGACCGCAGTGCCGCGGGCAGCTACCGCTAGGGCAGGTCCCAATATTAGCAACCTCTGCAGCTTGGTGAGCGAGCCGCGTGCCTCCTGCTCTCGCTGCGCAGCCGCGCCCGGAAGAGACCTGCGGCAGCGCTAGGACCCAGCGCAGGGTGGGCGGGAGCTGCGGGAGCGAGTCACACCAAGCACAGGGCTCTCACCTCTATGCTCCCCCCACCCCCCTCCGCTTCTCTCTGGGGACGGCATTCTTTACCCTCAGTGTCTTCTCACATTCTCTAGGAAAGAGCATTTAGTGGGGCAGGGGTGGGCTGGTTTACACCTTGATATATATATATAAAAGGTGCATCTCGCACCTGGAATGAACTACCAGAAGGAAAGTGACCTCCCTCCCCCACCCGCAGGTGACTGCGGCTTTGGGGGAGCCTGGCGTTGACCCAGCAGGCAGGCGGGGGAGGGAGAGGAAAGTTGCAGCGGTGACAGGTTAGGTGGGACCTTGAGAGGGCCCTGTGCCTTTCCCTTTGGGGGCGGCGGTGTAGAGATAAGGAATTGGGAATTGTGTCTCTGGGATACAGGCTAGGAGAGTCAGACGTTTTATTTCCTGTCTTCTCTTTAAAGCATTTGCTAGGCAGAAAAAGGTGAGCAGAATATCAATTGAGAAAGTGGTCACACAGAAGAATAAAAAAGTGAGTGTTGGGGCTTGATCCTTTATTTTACTTGCACAGCGAGGAAAACCTGAGCAGTTGACTCTGGCCTTGGTGGACAGATGGCCTGCTTCTCTGGGTGTGCCTTGTGGCCTGGTGTGGTGGCCCTGCAAGAATCCCAGATGAGCACTCTAACTGGGGCTGTACTTTAAAGGGGCCAGGAGTCAGGTGGAAGTTGTACTAAAGGCGAGAAATAGGGTAGCATGAGGTTTTTTGTTTGTTTGTTTGTTTTTTAAAGAGGTTAAAGCAATCTCATTAAAAATACCTCACTAAGGGAAAGGCTGTCTACTTAAGGAACTGTTTAGGACTGGTCCAGATTCTTGAAAAATTGGTGGGATTATAACTGCCATTTAGGCAGTCATCCTTTTTTTTTTTTTAAATAAATTTTTATTGGTTTCAAAGAGGAAGGGAGAGGGAGAGGTAGAAACATCAGTGATGAGAGAGAATCATTGATTGGTTGTCTCCTGCATACTCCCTACTGTGGCTGGAGTTTGCAACCACAGACATGTGCCCTGACAGGGGTATTAAATTGTGATCTCCTGGTTCATAGGTCAATGCTCAACCATTGAGCCTCGCCCGACTGGGCTCAAGTAGTCATTTCTTAAGTAACTCTGAGATTTGCTCAAGTTGCTGCTGACTAGACTTTCTGAGATACAGGCCCTGATATAAATGACTGGGTAGCCCTTGTATGGGTTGCTGGCTGAGCAGTGAACTCTCTGTATTAGGGGGGTTAATCTGTTTTCAAAGCCTCATGTCATGCCTCTTTCCATGGCCTGCATACATTCTTGTCCTCTGAAGAATGCAGCTCTGTTAAGTATTGGGGGCTTTTAAACTAGAAGGCTGTTTAACATATGCCAGAGTGGAGCAGCCTCTGTCCACCATAATACTTCCTAGAGCTGACCTTGTTATGGCATTGAAGGTGAGGCACAATATAGGGGGCTCTTGGGAGCTAGGCCACCTTCTGAGTGTGCAGTGAGGATGAAGTTTTGGTGTGGTCTTTTTCCTAAAGTAGTCCCTAGAACTGATCTTGCCTCTTGTGGACTAGGGGTGACCTCGGACAGCATAAGACCATCTGGAAGCCAGTGCGTTCATCCTCATTGGGAACTGTCGGCTGCTGTGAAAGGGAACACCATGAAACTAGCTGTGTTTTCCATGTACCTCCATCAATATCCATTACCTGAGGATGTCTAGGTTGTATCTGTTGAAAAGGAGAGATAGGCCACTATGGTGCACATATGATGGCAGTTTTTATTTTAAGGCCAATCTCATTCCCCTCCCCTCTCTCCCCTCCTCTCCCTTTCTTCTTCTTTTCCTTGCTTTTTCCTTTTTTTCCTCCTCTCCTGTTGATCATTAAGCATTTAAATGTTCCTACATAGAAGTCTACTCCTGGGCCTCCTCTGTGCTAAACATCTGTATAAACAGATAATGGGAATGGGCCT